GCTCCCATTTTTTTCCAGCCTGTGTATGACTGTAATCAAAGAGAGAACTCACAATTTATTTATTTAGCAAAAGTGACAATTTTTTTGAGAAATAGGGGTCAGCCAGACGCTGCAGCAATTGAGAGTTAAGGGCCTTGATCAAGGACCCAACTGTGAAAGTACTCTTGGTGTCACATGGAAACCACTATGACCCTGAGATTTGAACAGATGACCTTCTGATCAGATGGAGAGCTGTGCCGCACACCGCCTCGAACTCAAAATGGAAATTAGTGTTGACACCATGGTAACATTGCTATTTAACTATAGAAGTTAAAAACATGCATAACAGGTGTAGACACGTGCATGCATACGCACAGAAAAAAGAACAACACCCTTAACCACAGCTACTCCAGTGGGTGCTGGATGTTGGCTGATCCTGCTCTGACTCCAAACTTTCCGCACAACCCTTTGGATAAAGTCGTCTGCTAAATAAACAGATGTAAATGTAAACATGCATGGTTACTTAATTGCAACAAATATCTCTTTGGCAATTGTTTTGTACATGAATGGGTTCTTAATGACCGTTTATTGAAATCCCCTTTGTGTCTGCTAACAAGTTTCCAGCTGCTTTACTAGCTATCTACAGTCACTTAATTAACAGGAATTCATCCACTACAAGCTTTTGATCTTAATAGTTAAAACTGGCTCCTGCAAATTTAACTTCAAAGTTTTCATTTTAGCTTGTAAGAGTCTGCATTCACAGATCACTTTATTGCAGTAGCTGGCATACACAAGGTAAAGTTGCAAGAAAATTTGGCACATTTGAGACAGAAAAGCACATAAATATGCCTCCTTGTGGTTATTCAAACTGTCGCTATACTGTACATGAGGTAAGGTATTTAATTATCCCACGTTAAACACAGCATCAAGGTGATTTTCCTCTCTCTGTACACCTAAATAAGGCTGTATCCAATAACATCCTCTCATCCTCATGTCACATGGTTTTGCCGTACCTACTCGCCTCCTCTCATCCTCATGTCACATGGTTTTGCTGTATCCAATCGCCTCCTCTCATCCTCATGTCAATTATGTTGAGAACAACTTGTCTTCAATTACTTGTTCTTCCGGTCAACTTTTTATGTGGTAAACATTTAGCTGTGTTTTAAAAATGTGAAACCTTTCACTATAGCTTCTCTGTCTTTTTCAACAATTATCACTGACCAAAAACCATCACATACATTTAGTTAGCATTCTATAGAAAATGGACTAGCAAATGGAAGTTATTAAGCTATATGATGTAATAGAAAAAATTCAGCATTGACAGTAAATGGAAATTAGTTGCATAGTAACATGAAAGCATCTCTTAACCCATATAATTGTAATCATTCTAGAAGCAGATATCAGACAAAGAGAGAACTTTGTAGGACATTTCCATTTTCACCCATGCTTTTCATGTCAGTCAATTATTATGTACTTCACTACCAGAAGAAGAAAGGCTTGGTCCTCAAAGGAAGAAATGCAGGTGGGAAGAAAGACTTACTGCAATTAATTCATATTTAAAGACCTATTTCACAGAATCTCTTGTTTTTCTGGGGACATTGTTACTGTGGATTTGAGGTATATTTAATTCACTGGTTATTTTACCTGAAAAGCAAATGTTTACGTGTTTCATTGTATAGATGACTCTTTCTTTAGCTTTGCTTTGACGAATCAGCAGAATCATCTAAAAAAAGCAAGACAGTGCAAGACGAAGTGCAGTCCACACCACCGACAGACAGAAAGGTCATTACCACTTCAAATGCCAGTGAAAGAAACTGAATGTGAGAAAAGCCCAGTGCTTACATGTGTGAAGGGCATTTAATACAGTGGTACCTCAGAACTCGAATTTAATCCGTTCAGAACTCTGGATCGAATCCTAAAAAGTTCGAGTTGTGATCGAATTTTCCCCATAAGAAATAATGGAAAACCAATTAATTGGTTCCCGGCCCCAAAAAATTACACCTAAATATATTTTTATTTAGCATTTAAACACAAAATGAACCGGATAAAACAAGAAGAGCATATACTGTACTAAACACATCTAAGCACATTTATCAAAACAGTAATTTGTAAAGTAAGAAAATAAATGTATCCAAACAATGTGTCCTGCCCCGATCGTCCGCTCCTTCCGCGTGCCACGCCCCCTCGTTAATCCCGTGTGGAATCCCCGTGTAATCAGCTGTTTCTGGTCGTTGTCATTAGTCCTCTGTATTTCGTCCGCGTTTCAGTTAGTTTCCCCAGTCCGGTCATTGTATTGTCCGTCTGCGTTTTGCCTGCCTTACCTGTAATTAAACCCCGTATTCCCCGATACCCTGACGTCTGCGCCTTTGTCTCCGTTCCGTCCCCGCTCGGCACGACAATATTATTATAATTAAACGTATTAATGGTTTATTATTAATATTATTATTAGTATTTTTACTGTATAAATATATGTATTCAGCTAGTGTAAACATGCACGATGCTATCGCAGCGCATGTGAGGCTAAGACTGAAGCGTTACCCTTTGTCTCCGCTGAGAGACGTGCCGCGTGACTCATTTCCCCGCGCATACAAGTTATCTTAGGTTCTCTTAGGCGTTCACGGTTTGAATTCTGAGATTCAGATCGAGCCCTAGGTATTTTTTTTCCTAACTGGTTGGTTTGACTTTTAAGAAATTCGAATACTAATGAGTTCGAGAACTGAGGTACCACTATATCCATCCATCTTACTTAACCAGTACAAGGGGGCTGACTCTGTTGCATGCAGTAAAGGGTAGGGGACACCCTGGATGGGATGCCGGCTCATCACAGGGCACAGAGCATTTTTTCTCTTTGTTTTACAACCCACAGTGGTATTTTATTAAGTCAAGAGGATTCTGATTTAACCATTGCTGACTTTAATTTTAACTTATAAATGGGATAAAGAACACAGGGGACAAGATAATAATAATAAATAATAATAATCGATACTTTATTGATTCCTGTGGGGAAATTGTCTTTACGCCTCCCTCAACTTGCTCTTTTTCTAGAGTAAGCTGTCCGCAAAGGGCTGCCACCAAGATTGTTTGTGCTTATGTACTTATGCACTGAAATATTACTGAGGGCTGTGCCTCTACCCTGCTTCCCCCCTTTTTCAGATCTACATCTGAGTAACTGCATTCATGTAAATGTACAATAAATGATGATGCGTTCTAGAAACTTGGGTACACTAATGCAGTCAGAGTAACTTACTTTGTATGTGATATTTACATGTTATTATGGAAAGATGACAAAAGTGAGGGATAAGGAAAGGACTGCTGTCTATAGTGCTGTTGCCAAGTAACAGGAAAAGTGAGGTCATTTTAAATGGACATGCAGAACTTGAGAACAAGACCACGGCTGTTGTAGGAATGATAGATTTTATGTGTGTGTGTATTTGCAAACAGTAGCAGAGAGATGAAGAGACGTTCCCATAAACAGGAAGTAAAAAATAATTTCTAATTTTAAGCCAATTAGAAACTGTAAAAGAAGTACCACAAAAATCAGGGCGGGGCCTGGGGACAAGTATTGACTTGAAGCTACTGCTATGAAATTCTTACCAGCACAAAAGTACAAATACTTAAGCAGTGGCTGCTTGCAAGTACACTGCCTGGCTGTTACAAGAAGCGGATGCCCTCAGGCACTGGGGGCTAGATGCTAGAGCAGACTGAGCCAGCAGCAAAGGGCCACGAGGTGTGGAAATCATAACGTTTATTACCCAGAATCTGCACCTCTCAACAAATAGCAGGGATACAGCATCTTCCAGAGATTAAACCATTCATGAATTACTTATAATGGAGATAAGGGTCATTTCCCAACTCTGGACTACAAACAAAACATTTAATCTAAATACATAAATATATTCACAGTATATATTCACATAAATATATTTACTGCCCTCACTTTAAAAGGTAAAAGTGATTTTTTTAGAAAATTCAAACCACAAAAGTGAAACTTAAAAATTACGAGACAGGTAAAATATGCTCAAAAATATACTAACTAAAAATATACTAACTGAAGGGGATTAGGAAAAACAGATTTAATGTATTTGTAGAAAAAAAAAAACATTAAGTGTAAAGCCAATATCAGCTCCCTCCACCATATTTTTCACAGTAGGAAGTGGGGTCAAATATCTAATGTTGCTTAAGGCTATCCTTCCAGTGAATGCTTCCCCACCAATGCTAACCCTCATTATCGTGGAGAAGTGGAATAAGTCTGAAATCCAAAGGGTGAGAAAGAGAGGGCAGGTATCACATCCCCTGAGCTCGAAGTCAACAAGAAGTAGGTCAACTCCAGAACTCTAATTCAGACAGATGTCAATTAACACACATTACTTTTTCTTTAAGAGGATCGATATCCTTTTAAAAACATAAAGCCACGTCTTTGTGTGACATAGCAGCTGATTCACCAGATTACCCCCTCTGACCCGATTACCCCCTCTGACCCGATTACCCCCTCTGACCAGATTACCCCCTCTGACCAGATTACCCGCTCCGCGTTTGCTCACCAACACCCTCCCTGTGGCCTTTATGTCAGGAAGGTTCACATCCTTGAAATCGCAAAAGCCTGCTGCTATCTGTTTTTTTATATCCCATTTGCTAATTTATTATTATTATTTCCTTATGCACAAAAAATTCCCCCTAGATTCAATTAAGTCTATCATATATTGTAATCTGAAATCATGTGGAATGATTGAGCAATCTGAATAAAGAATATACAAGCAGCTCAAATCCTGGAAAAGTCAGCATCCTGACACCAGCTGACAGAGAAACCCATTTTACCACAAACTAAATATTCTGTTTCTCCAGCAGAAAAGCTCTAATTTAATCAACCCACAGGGCATGACATGCTATATTTATATAAAATTTATAAATTTATATAAAATTAAAAATTTTAGACAATTCATATGAAAAACAGGCATAATCAAGTGTCAAATGGACTTTATAATGGTAACCTTAGAATATCATGTGCATAAAATAAGACTTACTTGAGTGTGAACTGCTCAACGGTTGAGTTGGGCACGAGGAACAGGAAGATGCTAAGGGTTTCTCCTGGCTTCAGGGGTTTCTCCGGCAGCCGCAGGAACATGTTCTTGTCCAGCTGTTTGTCCACCACCATCTGCTCCTGGTTGGGTTGGTACAGGCTGATGCTCCCAATGCGCAGCAGGGGGTGCTGTGTGGGCATCTCTCCCCGGGATCCCCCCCGGCGTGGAGAGCCGTCCCCGCACTCGCCGCTTGCGTCCGGATCATGGACAGTGTAGTACAGCTCCGCTTGCAGGGTCTCTCCGCTCAGTTCCAGCCCCTCGGTACCCTTGCGTCGACCAAGAGGAGCCACATTGACATTGAACCAGTTTGAAGGGATTTCCAGTTGAGCCAGGCACTGGGCCAGGTTCCCACGTAACCTGCAGGACGTCTTAATCTCACGAATGTCCCTGAAGGCATGAAGTCGGACACAAGGGAGCTTGTTGAGGACCTTGAAGTCATCCCAGTCTCGGCCAGCAATGTAGAAAAGCACCTGGACATTGGGGTTGCTGGAGAAGACCTTGGTCTGCACTATGAAAGCCCGGACCTTCCAGTTGACTGTAAGCCTACTAGGAATTTCCAAGGGGCTGGATGGCTGCAGGAGGTCCTTTGAAAGGGTCTGGTCTTGTGAAAAAGGTCCAAAGGTGATGTTAACTGCTGGTAATTCCTTGGTTTGGAAGACGACAAAGCTTTCGGAACGCTGCAGGGGGTGTCCATATTGGTTGACCTGCGAAGGTGACCTGATTTCTCGTAAAAAGAAGGCCAGCTGAGCGTTGGAGAGTTTGAAGTTGGCTGGGAGGTAAACGCTAGGTGGGATGGAGACAGCACTGGCGGCAGACACCGAGAGGAGGGCGTCCGAGTTGGTGGGCTGCACTTTACTGGTAACTGTAGAGAGATGAGAGAAATGAACATTGACAGGCGTTACACACTTGGGTGTGTCTTTGGGGTGAATCCACAAACACCACATGCTCATATAAACATGCACATTTTCCACTTAAATCCGGACTCAAGCAAAAAAATATCGGAAATGCATAGTTTTTGGAAGCACCTGTAAGTAAACTTGCATTTTATCTTTTCATTTATTTAGTATGCGTTCATTAGCACATATTACTAGTGTATTGTATGAGTTTTGCAATAAGATGTCTTAAATGGTATGGGAAGGTAAATCCGACTTACGTAAAAATACTGTCTTCCGTTACAGTATCAGGGGAAATTGCAATAAGAACTAATTACTCATAGGAAAGTTAAATCTCAAATAATGGCAAACATGTATCAAATGGAGAATGACCTATCAGAAAATTTAAAGATTAGAAAGACAAAATGCTTAAAAAAAACCCCACAAACATCCATGTAACACAAGAAATTGTCACGTTCTCTAACTGGTCCTACTAAGGTTAAAAAAAAAAAACAGCTACTTGTCTGCATTAGCATAACAAACCATTTAAAACGTACACATGACAATGAAGAATAACACGCGGTACTGCCAAATGTGGTTTCTCTGGTCATCGGCATCGGCGGCAATCTGGCCCATACTCCCTGCTCTTCAGCATTTAAATCACTCCTTTATGTTTCTTCGCGACAACAAGCATATCCATGAAAACTGGGCATGAGCGATAAGAATAGTCCATAGCTGGAGATTAAGCAGCTCCTTGTTGCATGTATGAGTCCACAGCCAAAGCAAAGATGAAGTTTTGTCTGCGGTGGTTCAAACTGTGTTTTTAGACCCCCCAGGGCAGCAAACCTCTCTACAGCCTCTCCAGCTCAAAGCTGACCATTCTACAGAAACTTGACACCCCCAGCCGGCTCCCCTGGTGGTACACAAAGCCCCCGGCCCGCCCAGACTCGCCACACCTAACTCCAGTAATCACCAGCCCGGCTCCGATTCGCCGCTGGGAGACGTGGACCTCAGAGGACATTAACACCACAAAAAGAGGCCTGAATGATTTATCTCCCCCTGTGGATGTGTGGGTGCCGGCTAGCAGGGTTTTTTTTCACCTCACTTTCTGTGTGTTGTGGGGATACAGGGCCGCAGGGTCTGACAGCAGAGAAAGAACGATTATTTAAATAAAAAATAAAAAAACGAAGGGGATTAGGTGAAGATTACAGATGAACCAGCTTCCTTCTCCCCTTTTGTCTTTTCTGGCCCCTGAGAAATGCTCGCCAGCGAGGGATGAGCTGGGGTGGCCACGTTCTCCACTTTCACTAATCACGCTCGTGTTCAGCTCCTACAGCTATGAAAAATGACCTCCGCTCCCAGTCTCTTGTATGGCTCTGCCAATCTGTACTCTGGGAAAGAATACATGTTTCTATATAACAATAAAAATGGTGTGCCTTTATTTTCATCCATACTCACCAGTCCCTTGTGTTTCTCATATTTTATCCCTTCATATGCTACAAAAAAACCAGTCAGTCTCAACCAAGAGAGACAGTAATAATAACTCACTATGCAAAGAACATTTTGTGACAAGCACTGATTCATTCTTTGCCTAATTTAGTGCAACTTAGGGATGATTTTAATTCATGCCAGGTCAGTGGTTCTCTTCTTAATGAAGAAGGGTTTGCACAGTTTGGCAGTGCAGGGGCTGCCATTTGACTGTCTAAGGGAAAGATGTGCTGATCTTTTCTTGGGGGCAACATAATACTTTCTTGCTTTTGCAAATGGGTCCATTATGAGGATGCATTAGTAGCTCAAGTGTCCCCCCCTCCCTACACACACGCCACATGTAATGCATTCACCCAATGACTCATATAGATCATACACAGAGACCTTGGGTGTCCTTGTGAGATTGGGGCTCTGATTTGCCACTATGCTGACAGCCCTCCTCATATTGCAGTGCCAGGGGTTTACACATGCGATCATATTTTTTTCCCTTTTAATAAAATCGAGATTCAAGATCCTTTATTTGTCTTTTGTACATCACTACATAGGAATTCTTACTTGTACCATCCAGTAACATGTAACGTGTAACAGGATTAGGCAGCACAAAACAACTTAAAGGCACTCAAAACATCACAGCAAATGTAAAACTAGGACTGCAGAAGTAGATATTTATGGGATAAATACAAGCAAAATAGAAGAAACTGCTGAAACAGAAGGGATGGCAGATATTATAGATATATGTAATAAATACAAAAGAGACGGCTGACATAGGGAACAAGACAGAGTAAAGTGCACAGCATCGTTCTTTCCAGGAAAGTGTACTGAACGGTGATTATTGCTTTGTATCAAGCTGTCAAAGTGCAAAGGAGCAGAACAGGTTCCTAGACTGGCTGGTGACCCCCCCCCCAATTCAGCCCCCTGCAATACCCCAGAGTCTAATGAAGTCTCTGCACTTCCTGCCTCTGTGAGGCAGGGCTATGAGGCACACGCGCTGGCTGCGTAAATGCGGCTCTCCTACCGACCACATGGGAAATGTTAAAGTCCAGCCCACCCAGAGTCAAAGGTTGCAGCTGCCATTTCATCTGCCTTGCAGTAAAACAACAGAATCTGATGTTGTTTCACCAGCACCTGCTTGGTTTTTGTATTAAAAGTAAAGGTCCAAAACCACTCTGTGATCAATGCCATGTAACAACATCTGTGTTCATTAAGCACATTTAATTTTTCATACAGGCTATTCTCCATTTTATACTCAAAATGATTACCTCGTTAAAGAATGCTAAACTAAGTAATTTTTGTAATTATTTTCATCTCTACAAACAAAACAATTTACATAATATAGTTAAAGCACCAACTACTAACAGAATTAATCTATCTGTATAATTGCAGTTAATTGTTTAATTGTTCTCCTATTTCTCAAACGGCATATCTCCCTGATTACCTTCCATTCATTAAAACTAAATGAAGTCTGTGAGCAACAAGGTACATGAAAACATGCCATCTAATGAGCGGAATATCTGCAGAAATAGACAATAAAACCAAGAGAATCTACACAAAGCAAGTTAATATCCGACAAGTTAATGCTAATCCGCGCCACGATGATTCAGTAAATTTATTTTTAGTTATGGGACATTAATCATTGAGACAATGTCAAGCTTTCTCGGGTGAAGTGAGATCACATCATAACGGTATAAGCAAGGCAGGCCTATCACAGGAGGCGAAAGTGCAAAGGATTCTGGGGCTAAAGGCACGTGCTGCACATGCTAAAAAGACTCAGATCTCAGTGGCACATGAGAAACATAAAAGAAAGCAAAGAAATATCCATAAAGAATTCACAGCATTAAATTAATCACAGAATCCGGTGAGCTGCATACCTGAGAGCGGTCTGGGGGCCTTTCTCTGTATAAGCCGTCCACAGGCATGTTTTTATACTTTATTCATTAAGTGTTCATTATTATTGCTTCAAGTCCACTAAATATCATATAAACAGTAAGAGGGATTTCAAATGTCTAGAGACACCTAGAGGAATTTTAATCCCATTGTGTGCTGTATTTATGCAGTAGCTTTCTTCTGCTTCTTGGTAGCTGTTTGTTTCTCAATTAAATGTGTCAAGAGTCTAAAGCCAAAAAAGAGCCTCAAATGAGAAGTGTCAGCTTTAAAATACCATTATTACAATGCCCTGATTCAATCATTTTTTTGCCTATACCCATATCTTTTTCTATTTATTATCTTTTCCAAATACCTTGGTCTGTTCCCAGACCCTTTAAAATGTGATATTAAGACTAGAAAATAGGTTAAAGGAGCACAAGTATAAGAGGTTTAAGTAAATATGGGTGTTTTTGACCCAATTATTAAATTTTTAGCCAAACAAATATTTATTAACACTGACACAAGCAAACAGAATAGCACTTAAATCAAAATCAAAGTCCTTTATGCGCCTTGTGGACATCAGTAAATAGGAAATCTTGCTCATGCTATTCAGGCGGTAACATGTAATGCATAACAGGATTAGACAACACAACAGGCAGACATAACTAGAAGTCGCAGAGGTTAATTATGCAATAAATATGAAAAGAACGAATAAAAGGCTGAAACAAAATATATGGCAAAAATACTTTAAATATATTAAACAAATATAAAAAATAAATGAAACAGCTGCAATAGAAAATATAGCAAAGTGCAATAAAAGTAAAGTGTTGCTCTGTCCAGTAAAGTGTACTGTGAATTAATGAGGTCGGAGTATTATTGTTCAATCCAGGAAAGTGTACTGTGAATTAATGAGGTCGGAGTATTATTGTTTAATCCAGGAAAGTGTACTGTGAATTAATGAGGTCGGAGTATTATTGTTCAATCCAGGAAAGTGTACTGTGAATTAATGAGGTCGGAGTATTATTGTTCAATCCAGGAAAGTGTACTGTGAATTAATG